AGCATATGAAAATAAGGGTCTTTCCCGCAGAAGATTGTTTTATCTAACTACTTAAAATGTCACAAAAACTGGGTTGTTGTCCCTACTGATCAGCCACCGAAAAATAATTATAGACCGACTTACACTTATCTAAAGTCTACGAAATTTTATATGCAGATACTAGACACACAGAGCTACACTCAAAATTTTGGGATTTTTGGAGTTGATTTGTTATTTAAATTAAATCAAACAAAAACATGACAAAATCAGATTTTAAGTAATTTGCAAATTAAGAAAAACGAGTTAGGGGAATTGCTATCCACCACCAAATAATCATGCAAAAATGTTATGTTTCATTCAAATTCCTTTCATTTTCAGATGAAGATGTTCAAGTTGGCTCAATGTTAGAACTCAACCTATTACTCTTTCTAATGTAGTATGTTAAGAGAATGGCGTTTCCAACTTAACTTAGTCCCTAACATGCAATCTAGAATGGTGTGTTCATAGATTTAACAAGTAGAAATCATTAAGAACGAAAAGAGTTTGAGTCATCACAAGGCATCGTAAGTACTAGTGTTGTCTTACTTATCCTAGAAATTGATTCACATGTTAATCGCAATTAACAAGTACTACTCTAGAACATATGTAGGTCCTCATTCGACAAGGGCAGGCACACACATATTCATAGCATTAGAATCCTAGATATGCTTACTAAGTATGGATCCGTAGAAAACACATAAAGAATTCATCAATGAGACAAGTAGTGAACCAATTTTCATCCATTAATAAAAGTAATTCAAACGAAATGTCATAACAAACTTGCAATCATATTCGAGGCTTCAAAACAGCCCCTAACTACTAAAAATTAGTTACACATAATTCTCAAATTAAACAAAAAGAAAGACATGAGTTTGAGAAGATAAAACCGAAAGAAGAGAATGCCAAGATTTCCTCCTTCCTTTCCTTCCTTCCCCAACGCAACAGCCTTACCTTTTTTCCTTGCTTTCCTTCCTTTTTTTCTATCTTTTTTTTTCCACATTTTTTCCCCTCTTTGCCGCTGCAACCTGCAGCCCTTTTCTTCTTTTCTGCTGCCACAGTTTTTTCTCCATAACTCACCCCACTAACAGCCATTTAGTGATGACAATAAGTGAGAGGAAATGATAAAACAATTGTAACTCTTTGGGCAGCCTTTATGCCCATTACTCCCACTTAATTTTCCATTTCCTCTGATATTTGAATAGGTGTCAGCTGGCTTGTTCTTGGCCGCATCAGTTTTGGCTGCTAGTTTGATTGGATTTATTGCTTTCAATGCTTTCTTGTTAGTTACAAACTGCTCAGCCTCTTGGAAACCTTTTAGTGTTAAAACGATCATAACTTCTTCTAAAAAAATGATATTAACAATCCGCGAAATGCTCCAGAAAATGGACATATGTAGCTTTCCAAGCATATAAGGCTCATTCTCTAATTCATTCTGAGCTGTCCGCAACTTTCTTCCAAAGTCAGCTGACCTGCACAAGCAGTTTTGATGAATTTGTTACTTAAAATTTCACTTATGCTATTTTTCTTTTCTTTACTTGACAAATCCTACAAAACACAAAAGAATCAGATATAGCAGTTATAACTTGGTATTCTGTATGTTATAAAACCGATTATTGCGGAATTTTAAAACAACATATAGATTGAGTTCCCAAATTTCTCCATAATCATGAGTTTAGAACTTGAATTGACCGACTCTAATACTGCATGTAATCTTTATTCAAAAAGGATCCAATCAATCAAATTGCTAAACTACATGAACTTCAGATTTATAATGAATGCATGCTCCCTGATGAGTTGGTGCATTAAACGCAGTAATCTGCATAAACCCTAATAACAATTTGATGTATGTACTGACCAGAATTCGTAACCATACTTCTTGTTATGGTGGTGTCTTCCCTTCTCTTGTACTCAGTGCTATAATGTTCAAGATTCACAATAGGGCTTATCCTTCTAAATGAACACAAAGATTATATACAGAGAAGAGGAACCAATCCACACCATTGAATTTGGTAACTGCCTCATCCATGCTCGAACAATACTGATTATTTTAGTCGGATAGAATAATTTGTCATCGAATAGTGCTGACTAAATTAGTCGGACGTTTGGTGCAATATCGGACTAATATCGTAATGCTTATACTGTGATTGGTATTGTATTGAATACGAGAACTTCGAAATATTATTACTTTTTAAAAAAAAAAAATGACGGTTAATGGAAGAGAAAATGGGGGGAAAACAAATTTTTGACCGGTAATTTCAACAACAAAGCCAGAACCAAACAGGCTTACAAGCACACAAAATAAGAATAACCCATGTCAAATTCTACCATTTTACAAACAACTCGTATCAGAACCTACCGTTTTACAAACAACCCATATCACCAAAAGGATTAAAATTCCCAGATTGAACTTCGAAACATGCTGAGGACGATGAAAAATGAAAGTAATTGTAAAACTAAACAAAAAGTAGGTAAATAAGAACAGGGGACGAAGAAGAAGGAGACTCTAAAATTCTCAGATCGAACTTCGAAACATGCTGAGGACGATGAAAAATGAAAAAAAACTGTAAAACTAAAATAAAAAATAAAAAAAAACAGGTAAATAAGAATAGGGGTCGATGAAGGAGGAGACTCTATCTGCCTGCAAGAGGTCGGGGGTCCTTGTCGAGATCTTTGAGCTCATTCAAGATCTATTTGGAAGCCATGGGTCAACCTCGCAGATCGTAACGGATATAAGGATGGATGGAAGGGGCGTTGCTTTGATAGGGAGGAGAAGAGAAGGAAAAAGGTAGGAACTTGACGAAGCGGTCAGATTAATAATACACTCTTTTTGGGGAGGATAATTAGCCGGGTGTGAGGAGTACTAAAGTGTTGGGGTCGGATTAAGTCTGGATACTATTCAGTACGTTAGAGCACCAAATATCTGACTCTGTATTAGTAGTCATATCTGGTGATATATACCGCGTAACAAACAAGACTTTATAAGTTCACGTGCGTTATAGGTTATTTCTAAGTTATCTTGTTGTCCAAATTTTGATGAACTCACTGGAATTCAAATGTGATGAAATCACATGAATTCCAACACCAATCATTCTTCTGGGTTTTTGATTTTGATTCCTTTGCCCTCTGATTTTTTTGGAATGGATTTTCTGGAATTGAAAGCGAGAGAGAGAAGAGAAGAGACGATGTGGAGTAGCTCAAATGGGTTTTTTAATGTTTCTGTGTTGGGCTATATTTGCAGGCAAAGAAAACAAACATGAGTCGCGCCGATTGATGTGTGGGGGCTGGGTTATTGCGAAGAAGATGAAGATCTAGCTTAAGGTTTTCTTTATTATTTGGTTTTTTTTCTCCCTTTTTTAGTTTTTTTAATAAAATAATTAAATGAATTAACACATGGCACAAATTTAAGTTCCAAATCTGAAAAATAAGGGCTCCGCCCGTGACACAATCATCGTCAATTTAACAAATTAACTAACGATGGTATGAAATTGAATAAAATAATAAGTAAATGTATGAAATTGAAATATTTTAAACTAATTATATGAGATTGCAATTGCATCCAAATCTAAAATGATAAAATGTAATTTAAGAAATAAGTTCCTGTCTTCCATCAGTTACAAATGTATTTACCCTCTCGTACATAAATTAATCTCTCTTGGAAAAGTAAGTAGAGAAATCAGTTCAAGTGGCTAGCTAACTACTTAAATTCTCTCAACTTTCTTCTTGCGTTCAGGAGGTTTCAAGAATATCGGAATATAACGCGGAGTCCCGTTCGTTTGGTGTGACCAAAAAATCATTTCTGAAAAATACGCGTATGTTCTTACCGTGTTGTATCCTGTGATAACATCTTTGTATATTCTTCTGGTGGTCTTCTGGTGGATAATTGATACATAATCAAGGACTTTGCTTAAGCCTGCTTGCTAAGAGAATTAATCATGGCTTATGGTTGTTTGAATTCAATGCCCTAGCCAGCCAACAGCTGTAATGTTGTTCTTGTCCTCGTTGCATCGTCCGGCACAAAAACTTGAGCTAACAATCACGATTTTAATCGGTTTTTGAGCAAAACAATCGTAAAATCTATTTTTGACATTGTCGTCGTCTTGCAAGCTTCTCAAAATTCATGCTAGACATTCGCAATATTTTGCACAGCAGGAAAATGACTTCCGGGCACCACTAGTAACTTTTATCGCGTTTTCTATTTTCCAGCTTCAAATCCATAAAATAAAATAAACACTTATGAGACTCAATAAATATAGTATATATGCATCGATCACCTAGAAACCGATTCAATAAGGACCCATTGTTGATCAAATCACCTATATTCCACAAAACCCCTTCTTACCAACCCGGTTTTTGGTCGTGACAGACCCCAACACCTGGCACGTAACATAACATCTCATATGCAAAGCAGCTCCGGAGGTTCCTTTGTCATGTCGACCGAACATGTGACTTTGAGAACGGAAATGGCTACCTGCAGTTTCCTATCAGTAGGGAAGCCCTCAGTGCGGACTGCGGACACATTCCTTGTCGATTAACTCTGATCAAATGCCATTTTTGCCCTCCCAGTAAGGGAAGGCTATCGTAAATACAACGCTTACACAAACACAAAAATGAATCAAAGTTGTGGTTCTACATGTTAGTAATACTACAACTTTCTCGTACTATTCAATTATAATTGTTCTATCCAGACTATCCAATTTCAGCCTTCCACTTCATCAACTTCATACCTTCACATAACAAATTTTCTACATATGAACAGTAATCTAATCCAACCCCACCCTCTTTATACAAACAAATATAACTACATAGTGTGAGTTGGTATCAAACATACTGTTTCATAATCATCTTTTCATATATGCTATAGAATGACAATGATGGTAATGCTTTAGTTTTATTTACGCAACACCAAGGACAACAAAGTCATTCAGTGTCGTCGATTAAAATCCTGAGATAGCACTTCCCCTGCTTAAATTAACACATGAGCAGACACACAAAGCACTGCCAAAATAAATATAGAAAGATGTACAAAAACATGAAACCAAATGGAACAACCACTTGAATCTATTTCCAAGGTGAAGAGTATCTAAAGTTCCAAACGCGTGTTGAAACTCCTCACTTACAAGGCACCTGAAGATTATACCATATGACAAAGAACTAAACAGTTTCCAATTCAAAATATCTACCAACAAGAGATTGCTTTGCAGTGAAATGCACATATTTGGGTACCTTCACTAACCGCAAAATCTACCCCGCATATGGTAACAGATCTTACATGTCAGTTACATCAGTTAAGAAGTAAACTAATAAACCCATTGCATACCAGTTTTCTGTCTTTCATGAAGATGTTAGTGAAGAGCTTTCGAATCTTGCATGGCCACATTGCCACCCCCACCCACACTCTGAGTCTGTTTTCATAAGCTCGGACTTAGGCACTTTGTCTCTAAAGTCTAAACATGCAACCCTGAGAAGAAGTTGAAGAAGTCTCAAACGAATGGTTAACCCCACATTGCAACCTAAATGGTTTTTGCATTTTACAAGTTCATTAGAACTTGGTAGGTAGTGAAGGCCCTTAAAGCCAGTACGCCAACAAAACAAGTAATCTATTCCAATTGACGAGAACAAAGAAGAAAGGACACAACAAACAGGCAGGAGATACAAAGGGAGCCGTATTCATTAACGTAACAATGGAGGAGTAAGAGAGAGGGCAACATAGGGCAGAAGTAGTAAACAAATACCGGAGCCAAAAGAAAGAGCAGAGCAGTTTGCAGTTTGTAATTGTGATGGTAACATAATGCAACTAAAGATAATGGTATACATAGTACTACAGTGATTTAAAGAACAATAAAAATCTAATAAAAGGAAAGAAAAGTACCGGTGATTCTCCTGGACGACAATGAGGTGTGGGTGTGGATGCTAACTAAGCCTGAGTGCCGCTCAAGGCTTTCATCTGAATGTGGTTGTTGTGGTCGGAGGAGGGAGCGGCGTTGGGCAATACCTCATATGAACCTAATCTTCGGATTCCAACAAACTTGGCAACGACGGCGTAGGTGACCATGACAATGAGCAGGACGAACATGACGTGCACCAAGAACACCAGATCCAGAATGGCCACCGCCCTGTACCGGGACTCGTCCAGGTCGCACTTGGTGGAACCCTCCACCCCGATCACCACGTCCAGGAGCTTGTGGCACCCCTCCGGGATGAACGCCTCCACGTACAGCGACAGCCCCGTCTGCAATACCCACAGCCCCTGCAGGCACATGACCGCCCCTAACCCCACATCCGCTACGAACACCCTCGGCTGGCACGCCAGAACCACGCACAGCCCCGACGCCACCGCCGTGATCCGACCGGAAACCGAGTCGCACTTAGCCTGCAGATCCGACATCTGCACCGACGCCGCACCCCACGACATCAGCGACTGCAGGTAGAAGAGGGCCGCGGCCAGCCCGAACACCAGATCCGAGGGCAGCGGAAGAACCGATGGGGCCCACTCGGAAAGCAGGAGAGCCAGCGTGAGCAGCAGAAAGAGGAAGAGAGAGGCCGCGGACTGCAGGGACGTGAATCGGTGTACGGGTGTTCGGCCCTTGAGGAGTGGGTCGGCGTCGAAGGAGGTGAGGGTCTGGTGGACGACGGCGACCAATAGGCAGGCGATGATGGCATAGAGCTGGAGATACCTGAGACGATGATGAGGAGCATTAAGGTTGGAAGAGGAAGAGGAGAGGGGGAAGGGGTGGTAGGGCTTGGCGGCGTAGGACTGTGGAGATTTGAGGTGGTTGCGGGTGGTGGCCACCATGTGGTAGAGTCCCAGTGATACCAGGGCGGAGGAAGACAATATCTGGTACACTAGGGCTGCCATTTCTCTGTCTCTCTCTCTCGTTCCTCTGATGCTGCTTCAATCTCTCTCTCTCTCTCTCTGAGTTTTGAGTTTCGGAATTTTGAGTCCCGAATCGATTACTTGTTTTCGAATAAATAAAAAAACACTCGCAATGAAATTAATAAATAAAAAACGAGGTGGAGGCAGACCAAAGGCTAAACACAAGGGGTCATCGTTCGACCTCCGCTCCGATCCCAATCAGATCGTAATCAGATGATCCTCCTAATTACTCAGATCCTCGGAAGACTATGGAAATAGAAGCCGGTGACCGCTGAAGATGATTCACATAACCTCTGCAAACTCTCCTGCCCAATTCACACTACCATCTCAATTCTCAAGACAGTTGCGCTTGAAATTGTTTTGTGTTTGGGGGCCGGGCCACTTTACTTTTACATGGGCATTGCCATTTACTTATTTTGTGTTTGCTCAGTCAAGAATTGCTTCAACCCCCTTGGGCCGGTCTGATTTCTTATTATCTATATTTCTTCTAATGGCCGCCCGAGCCTGGCATCCATACGACAAAGTCAATAATCTTTAGGAAACGGCATCGTATAAGTGTTGCGGACGCACGCTAGTTGTTGGGCCCACCAAACGATCACTAGAAATAGAAAAGAATTACTCCACGCCTGATCCGTCCGCCTGTTTGACAGGCAAAGTGAGAGAAAGCAGCCACCCAAGGTGCGGCGATGTGTTCGAATCCTCTCCCGGCCTAAACTACTTCGGATGGAGTTAAATTTGCCGCTATTCAACATACAAGCTAAAATATGGCTGAAAAAACATATCCAAGCTATAAAAATTCATTTGTGAAAGTGACGAATTTTTCATTGTGTGAATTCAGAGAGATTTTGAGTCATTTTAATTCTCTAAGTCAGTCTCAACGCCTCTTGATGGCATCTCTACAGAACCACAAAGGCGAAGGCCTCTCGACGCTCTCTTGACGACGGTATCTCAACGTCATATCAACACTCTCTTAGTGGCATCTCGCAAAATCTCAACAGCATCTCAATGACATTAGTATCTCATTGGCATATCGATGTCTCTAAAATCAATCATGTAAATTCTGGGAAGGGAAATGGGGCATATAACATAACCCTTCAAAATCGTTTTTTTTTTTTTTTTTCCAACCAAAAACTCATTGCTGGAAAAGCTTTGTCACCTGGATCTAAGAGCACAGATAGATCATCATAATCCTTCCTAATCTTGGTCAGTGTCATCGTTGGTTTCCAATATTTACATTTCAGAAAATAGACATCGATATTATAAGAGCACAGAATCGTAATCTTCACCAACAGAATCGTAATCTTCACCATACTCACCTTTTCCTTCTTTCCCATTCGTATTCTCATCGTCTCCTTTCCTGGAAGGGAGCTGGAAAGGACATGCATCTTTTAATATACAAGAACAGGACAGCAAAAACTATTAATCCACTATTAAAAACAAAAAATTACAAAAAGTGAAACCCAGGAACCACAGTACACGGAGGATAAACCATTGCTAACAAAAACAATCAAAACCGCCGCAAGATAAAAGGAAAGTGAAAAAAGAGACGTTCCAGTTTCCACTCTAATACATGTAAATCTCAACCAAAAGCTGGAGGACATCAATAAACAAAGAAATGATCGCACAAACAACATTGTCATACATAGGCACAACATGACTATGTATGTATGTACTTGCACATTATATGATAAGGATGATCACGACGATCACAACCACCACTACCAAAACTGCGAGCACCCACCAACACTGCAACAGACAATAGACCGACATTGAAGATAAGATATACGAAATGACAAATTGGAGATAATCAGAATCCAATTCTAAGATAACCTAAAATTGTTGTGTGATAGGGCGATCTTGTTTGCAAACTACCCTAACATGTCCTATACGAAATCTCTGCTACACCAGACCAGACAGTCTTCTTGCTAGTTTTCACTAAACAAAACAAATGAAAGTTTGTGTTTGCATGTAAATTCCATTTCTCATTGCAACCTAATGTCTTCTTTTCTGTCCATTATGTGTCACAGTCTAGATGCCATGATGTGGGGATGCTAATTTCCTTTTGTGATAAATGAATTCTTTCACTTCTTTTGTTAACGCTCACAATTCCAAAACACATCCTTTTGCCCTAACAGATCAACCATAAAGTGCTAAACACCCTGTACTAGTGGTAGGTGAGGTAGATAAGAGATGAAAGTTAACTAGTTTGTTTAATTTATTGTTTACTCCTTACCCATGAGCATCTGAATTTAACTCCTTTGGAAGCCTTAGCTAGCTGAACTCTAGCTTGGGTTGTTGCAGAGGAAGAGTTGTCAATGTTTGATTGAATGTCATCTGCAATGATAGAACAATATGCCCGATAAATACAATAAGAGGAAAAAGCTCCATGAATGCAAAGTGAAAGAGAGCTGTATTACCAATGACCACACCCTGCTCATGAACGAGAACAGCAAGGTCCTTGAAAATTTCACTAGCTTCCCCGATTTGTGCTTCTATGTCTCGAATACCCTGTTCCCTCTCCTCAATGATGGCCTCATTGAAAGCAACCTCATTATCAAGCAAAAGTAATTCCTGCCTGTAGGTGAGATGTTGTTTCAAAATAGAATCCTTGTAAACCGTGCATCAAACCAACCCATGTGTAATGGTGTATGCATGCGAAGATGCTCAAACTATTAACTATACATGGTCAGTTTTCGGCCAAAGTTAAGACTCCCTCCCAATGTACAAGGTTCATAGAAGCAACTTGAGACTTTGAGCCACTGAAAATACAATAGAAACCGATGGCCATGGCCATGGGCCCATGGGATGGAATGGGGGCTCCAAGGTTTTTAATAATACAAGAGTTAAAGTCCAACCGAAGATGAAAAGACAAAGGTGGAAGGTGAAGTGAAGGATGATGTGAAATTGGTAATAAGCCAATGAGAGAGGAAATAATAAAATGAAAAGAAAAAGGACTGGAATGTTAGGCAGAGGAAATGATGTGAATGTAGAAGGAGAGCATGGAAATGGATTACCTCTTTTGGTCCTGAAGGAAAGGTTGGCGGTGCTGATCCCTGGTGCTGCTACTGCTAGGCTCCAGATATTCCCCGGAGGCAGAAGCGGAAGCCGCAGAACTGTAGTCAAAGCAAGTACCGAATAAAACAAGAACAAGGTGCGGAGGTAAGCCAAAAAGTCATACATACAAACACAAAAACACACAAACACAAGTATAAATTTAAATTAGAAAGGTGAAAAGAGGAGAAATGTAGTAGGGTAGGGGGTACGTTGGCAAGGAAGGCATGTAAGTAGACTCGCGCTCAGAGGCGAGCTGTTGAACTTTCTGAAATTCTTGCAATGTGGTCTGGAAATCTCTTGCAAGCTTAGCATCTTCGATCTGCTTACTCGGCTGAAAAATCAAGACAATATCCATTTTGTTTTGACTAGTTTTGAAATTTGAACTAGAAATTAGAAAGTAGAAAGAAATGTGTGAAATTGTTGGAATGTGATATAGTTTAGCAGATGAAATTCAAAAAGCGGAGGCACTCATGATGAGTGATGAGAGTGAGTTGAGTGAGTGAGTGAGGTAAAGAAAGAAACGCACATTGACATTGGATTGGCGATCAGATTGGGTGAGGGATTTGAGCTTGGCAGACGTTTCTTTTACCAGCTCAAGTATGCGTTGCCTCGTGTTGTGCCTGCACTTTGCATTTCCACTCGTTACATTACATAATAATGATTCATGAATGAATTTGTATTTGTATTTGCATAACAAAGAGAGAAAGAGAGACGCACAGCTTCTGGCGGTGATCGGAAGTGTCCTTGGCAGTCCCGATGGCATCGACCATTCTACGGAAAGTGCCAACGGCAGTGTTGATCTGGAATATGCCCGCAGCCACCGCTTGAGGCGGAGACGCCGATGCCTTCCTTCCCCTTCCTCCTCCGCCACTCTGCACATCTTGAAAGCTCATTTCTTCCTTTCTTTCTTGTTAATTTCTAATAAGATCAGTTGGGAGGAGAGGGCGCATCACAGATTCACTAGCTGCTTATCAGAGATTGACTGAATACCTTAAACGAAAAATTAATATAAGCCCTCGCAAAATTTTTTTTTTATTCAAAAATTCTTAGACATATTTTTTTTATTATTAGGGACACTTTTTTAATAGTAAACATACATTTTTATTCAAAATTCTAATGAACTGTCTACTTTTTTTTTTTTTTTTGTTCTTATAATATATAAACATTTTTAATAGTAAAAAAGAATTATTTAAATATTTTTCAATAAATTGCGCACTTTTTACTATTTCTTTCTAAATTAAATTAAAACAAATGGAGTTAAACTTAGCCCGCCGTGCTTAAAAAATAAAGAGTAAACAACACTAGAAAGCTATGGATATTTTTGTTTTGCTGATACTAGCAAAACGTTGGTAGTTTCCGATTTTTTTTTTCCAATTTAGTGATGATGCTCTGATCTATCTCTTAAGGTCGGAGGAGTTTCGATTTCATCCCTAATTAGCCATTTAACCTTTTTCAATACTAATATATTTATTTCATTGCGTAACTTATATATTTACTTTTAAAATTTAAATTGAATAAAAGTAAATAAAAATTAAACAAGGGCATGATTTTATTTATGTATAAATAAAATCATATTTAAATGATAGAAGTGGGATCAGAAAAGAAAAAACACATTTCCCGTAAAACAATAGAAAAGCGACAAAATAAATTTGTGACTTAGTGGAAGACCTCATTCTGTAATTTAAATGCATACCCAGTTTCGACTGTGGATTTCATACCCGCCGGTCAACGGCGCACCCCAACTACCAACCAAATACCAAGGGTCTTATTATTATGTAGGGTATATTTACCAAATTACCAATCTACCAATACCAAGGAAAAGAAACAGGAGTAAGTAGAGAGCACCTCTTCTATTTGAAATGATATGATTACAGACATATACACTACACAGAATTTCAGATGAGCGTTCAAATTAGTATCTATGTATATACCCTACCAACGGAACGGAATGAATGAATGAATGATCCTTCCTTCCTTCCGTACATAAATACAAATAGGATTATCGTCGTCCTATGCATATGTACATGCATATGCATATGCGAATGTGAATACGAATGCATGACATCAAAAGAATGTGTATTTCGTGCGCCACGCACACCTGTTTGTTTGTATGCATGATGTATCTCCCTCCACTTGTCTTACTTACCTAATTCACAAGTAACCTGCAATGCTGCAAAGGACTGATATATATTAGACCCATTTGAATAAACCATCAGTTTAAATTTGTGATGACTTACCAATTGAATCATGCCATCACGCACATCTTCGGCTCTAATTTTATGGCCCAATCAATATGATATTGTCCCTCAAGACATCCGAGTACGGCAACACACGAGACACAACCAACATGATGATATCCCGTGTCAAAATCAACAGAGTTTTCTTTTCCGATACTCAGCTCACTTGTCAAAACGTAAAGAAAATTTGTTCATATTTCATGATATGAGATTACCTTGATCTGGTCACCCTCAAAAACCAAAGAGTTTCGGTAAACATCAGAGGCCATTGATTCTGCAATCAGCTTGAAGACCTTTTTATTCATACAGGTTTTCATAAAAAAACATCTTTCCTGAAGCATAAATCTTCCTAATTCCCAGATCTGCTGCCATCCTCCTCACATAAAGCTTCTTTAAAAGAAGCTCCACGGAGTGTGGCTCCTTTCCATAATGCCGGCACAAATTCTCAGCATAATGCATCAAACTCCAGATATCGTTCTCAGCAGCTTTCTCAGCTGCATGAATTATCTCCATGGGATTCTCCAGATAATTTATGTATTCAGAGGGGAGATGAGGATTTATATTTAAATCAATCTGAAATGTACATAAAACACACCCATCAAATACCAATATGCATGCATGTTCGCATCCCAATCTCTCCTAGGAATTAAAATAGGATGTGTCGAAATTAATCAGCTTCTATCTTTGTTCAAGTATTTATTTTAAGATGCTGAAAGTGATGGTAAAAACACCTCAACGGACACATAAGGAACTAAAACTACACGGTGTTCATCAACCTGGCATCAAACAAGCAAAACAGCAAGTTAACACTTCAAAATTTCAAACTCTAGACATTGAGTGGGCCTAACGAATTAAACAGTTACTACATGTGTGTGTTGTCAGAGAGAGAGAGAGAGGGAGAGGATACCATTTTAGACATTAAAACCATTTTGAAACACTGTCATCTCATACATTAATATGTTATGCAGTTAGAGTAGTAATAGTAGTAATAATAATTATTATTATAATAGTAATAATTATAATAGCCAAAATTGCACGTAAAATGGAAGCAAGAAGTAAAAGATTAAAAATTGGATCATGAACAAGAGTCAAGCTTGGATAGGCTCTCAAAGAGCATTTCAAAGAAGAGATCAATGCCAACATCCCCTGTTTGTTGCTCACCAAATATGGTACCAAAGCCTCTGATTCCCATTTCCTTCTCTGCAAGTTGGAAACCTTGCCCAAGTTCACAGCATTCCTCCAGAGCTGCAAGTCGGTCCTAGAGCATGACCACAATGTTGCTACTTTAACACTCCAAAGTAATCACAGGCAAGTATACCTAGAGCAAAGTAGCTAATGGATTTTAAACTGTATCTAAAATCACATGCAATTGTGAAAACAAGTGCTAAATATCATGAAGGGTAACACAAGTAGTTACAAAAACTGTATACAGCATATTCTATAGGGACAAGAAGTACCAGTGCTTGATCAGTTAGTAGTGACTTCTCCGGATAGAACAAGTATGCATGAGCTTCCTTATCTGCCCGGCCTACCCTTCCCCGCAACTATTACCATTTATTCATTTAACGAAAGAAAAAGAACAAAAAATAACACAGTAATTAAAATGGATAAGGAGTTGGAAAAGCTCAGGTACCATTACGTTCTCCTGTTTAATAAATGAAAAGCACTTAAAATAACCAAAATAACAATTTCAAATGTTAGTCTTCCGTATATGTTGGACCATTTGAGACGTACATATAAAGAAAGAAGAAAGAATAAGACCTGATACAACTGCGCTAAGCCAAATTGTTGAACATCCTGAATTATGATGGTGTTTGCATTCTGAATGTCAAGCCCACTTTCTACTATATTAGTGCATATAAGAATCTTGATTTCACCTTGTGCAAAATTCTCCATGGTTTCCTCCAGCTGCTTTGAATATTGCTGAAAAAATATGCAGATATAATTACTCACATGCAGAGAAAGAAACCCAAATTAGCAAATCCAATTATAAGCTGTAACAAATGACGCATATGAAGAAGTTTCTTATTCAAATCCTGATGCATCCTCAATTTTCCTAATTCTTAAATTTCATCACATAGTGGTTCCCTTTGGAGATGCCAAATGATAAGGCAAGAAAGAAAATACCTTCCCGTGTGCAATAGCTATTTCAACATTAGGAAATGACTGTTCAAGAAATTTCATCACTTCTTCAAGTCCTGCAGCACAAGAACAGAAGTGAAATATGTATCAGCCATTAAGAGAACCAAAAGTTTATGTGGGAAATCATTCTTGAAATTCCTCTAATTAGCTGTTAGTCGGAAATGGAATTTCTCGTGTTCTTTAGACATGTAAGACAAATGAATCTAGAATCACGAACAAGGCAATCCTCATTTACTCTACAAGTCTAAAGACTTACAAATAGTGACATGTGCATTTAGTCATTGATAAAACTGAAAGAAGCAATCCAGACACTACAGCAAGCAACAGCATGACAAAGAAACTTTGTGTTTAGCTTTTGTAAGAGTATTAAAAACAAAACCATCATGCAATAAGGTTACCTTTAATGCGAGGCAATACGTAAAACACTTGGCCTCCTCTGTCCAGCTCATGCTTAATTGCTGATAAAACCTTTTCTTTACTGTATGCAGAAGGATGGGATTTGATAGGGACCCTTTCTGGTGGTGGAGTTGAAATCAAACTGAAAAATGGAAGAATGCATAATTACAACAGCACCAAATTAAGGACTGGCAAGCTATGTCTTAACTAGCCATCATAAAAAGTAAGCTTAAATTCACAACATTACGCAACAACTATCGCAAAGACAAGTCATTACCTAGCATCACAAAACAAATTGAAATGGGCATCTAGATCTAGAGATGTATATAAAACTATAAATCCAAAGACAAGTCATTACCTAGCATCACGGAACCCAGTCAAGGCTAAATACAGGGTTCGTGGTATAGGCGTTGCAGAAAGAGTAAGAACATCAACCGATGTTTTGAACGAAGCAATCTTCTCCTTTTGTTTGACGCCAAACCTCTATAGAGCAGAAGAAAGTGCATGCTTTAAAACATAAAAAGAAGATTATGTAGGTCAACTAGGAGAGAATCTAATTTGTTGCATATAGCAGAAAATAGATTCAATGACAAACCTGTTCTTCATCAACAACTAGCAAACCCAGATTACTTTACACAACACGACTTCCAAGAAGCGAGTGAGCCCCAACAATTATGTCCAATTGCCCCTTTTTAATCATGTCCAAATGCCCATCCTTTTCTGCTTTGGTCTACATGCCATAACAGTTGTGATCAGTTTAAGACTAAAAGGAGCAGCTTGAAAATTCCAGAATGCATAAGATGTGATACCCAATATGTCACGCCCCAATTCCGACATACGTCAAGAATTGACACGTGACGTCATCAAAAATCCGTATCTATCATACCCCACCTCCGGGATATGGGCAAGCACAACTCAATAATCGAATCGCATAGTTATTTTTCGTACACATTATGGCTGCATCTAACCTCCCTGTTAGACTGCCTACGTACCCTAGACAAGGATCAAGCCATTCGTAATTCGTCATGCACAATAATTGACATACAACACAGTCCGATTAAGTCGAAAGGCATAACATTTCTTAATCAATCAATAGAACTTGACAAGCATGAAATTACTCGACTCAGGGTTGCATAACAAACCCACCTGAAAATCATGATTTCCCCTCTATCTATATATAAATCATTATGCCGCAACATGATACCGCAATTCACAACATATATCATTTCAAAGAACCAACGAAGCACAATACCATTCTCTAGCCACATTTATCAACAAGTCTAATCATAACAATAACCATGATATCCAACATAACAATCTCACATGACGATTAACAATTCCACTTCATCCATTACATAATTCATCACGTTTCCCACATAAAATCGCATTTCATAGTGTGTAACATAGTTAAGAATTAACAAAGTACACATTATTCTCTAGAAATATTAATCAACTAAAATACTCATGATAACCACACTCATATCCAATGTCATTCCATAATCACATCAATCAATAATGTCAACCATCACATCATCAATAACACATACAACATGTCGAAACGCAAGGCTAGAGCAACACAATTCGGTTGAAGACTACATCTTTGAAAAAGGGGATTTTGGATCACCCAACGGACCAAGGCAGCAAGGGGGATTCCGGACCATCACTCAAAGGAATCCAAGCAGAACGCAATTTCAAACCACCCAACCGAATTGAACGGAAGTCCAAGAAGTATAACAACGGCTCGAAGGAACAAGATATGATTCAAGTTACCCAATTCACGAAAACTCAACGAAACGAAGCAATATC